GTACTTCATGAAAACACGTTTGAAAAGTAGCACAAGAGCAGGAAACGGGCTAATGAAGAGGTTAGAGTCTCGCAGCCCACCCAGTAATTTGTGCTATGACTAGAGACATTGACTAGAGACATTCTGTTTTATTGCATTTGCAACTTCATCTACACGCTGCTGCATTGCATTGTGTGGAGTGCTACTTCCACGGTGGCAAGAAGTCAGGGTCCCTACTAAGCCAGTCAGCAATCTTTCTTCTCCTTCTTACAACCTCACTATATGTTTTTATAGTATATTTTACACACACTTTTATAACTGTCTAGCTCCCAAAACTGAAAGACAATCACTGAGCAATTGTAATACTTTCATTGCTAAAGTAAATCTTTTGACTACATACATTATTTGTGGGCTGGCAGTTCTAAAACACCAGTAAAATCACCGTAGCTCAAACTATTACTGTCACCAAAATGAAAAGTGAAAACTTAGAACATATCCAGAAGCATATGCAAAATAAAAGGAATTTTTTTCTGAGTTTGTGTGATGACATTTACATGTGTGTTGTTTTTGCAATAGAAAGTAAGTGTTCTATTTCCATACCTGTCTGTAATTTAGGGCATCTAAAAAGACAGAATCTTCAGTGAAGACAACAGATTTACATGGCATGTTGATTCCTAGAGCAAGTGTTGAAGTAGCTGTGACTACCTACAAAATATCAAACACGAGTATATCTATTAGAAATGGCAATATCCAATTGAAAAAAACCACACACCTGTAATAATCCACTTAAATCACAACAGGAATTTTGCTACCTCTTTTCATATAGCTAAATCTTAATCTAATTAATTTAACAGAGCTAGGAACATACATGTATTTCACTCTTCAGTGTAGCTCATATAGCCATTACAGATGCATACTAAACTTCTGTACCCTGAAAGTTTTTACCACATCTTCTATGGATCGCAAATTGATATAATATTGAAACACAAATTGAAATATTCTGGGAAGACAGTAAAAATATCATAATCCTACAGAGGTCATTTAACTAAAACACATTCAGTGCTGCAGTAAAAGACAATAAAGAATGTTTCCATAAATACATCAACAACAAAAGGAGGGCTAAGGAGAATCTCCATCCTTTATTGGATGTGGGGGGAAACATAGTGGCAAAGCATGAGGAAAGGGTTGAGGTACTTAATACCTTCTTTGCCTCAGTATTTTACAGTAAGACCAGTTGTTCTCTGGGTATCCAGCCCCTTGAGCTGGAAGCCAACCAAGTGGTCAGGTATTGCTTCACTAATTTGACGGCCTTCTATGACAATGATGGAAGGCAAACATTTAGGGACACAGTTTAGTGGTGAAGTTGGAAGTTTTAGGTTAATAGTTGGACTCACTGCTCTTAAGGGTCTTTCCCATCTAAACAATTCTATGATTCTATGATATATTAGTCTTAGGGACAGAAACTCTTAGACAGAAATAAAGCTAGCAGTTCATGGAATCACGGAAGGGACGTTAGAGATCATTTGATCCAACCTCCCTGTCATGGGCAGGGACATCTCTCCACTTAGTTTGTATTATTTGTTTGAAAACCTTCATGTCAACGTTTTTTAAATGAGCATGACAAAGTCAGTGCAATATATTTTACCACTGGTGAAAAGTACGCTATGTTTTTTAATTAAATATATGGAGAAACTAGAATTTTTTTAAAAAGATCTGATCCAAGTTTACCTACCTTGATATATCCCAGCCTGAAAAGCATCTCCACTGCTTGTCTTCTCTTGGCGGTCATATCTCCATGATGAAACCCAATGCCTCTCATTGCCATCATTTGCTGCAGATAGTGTCTTCTCTCAAACCTAAGTTGATGAAAAATCTTCTTCAAAGTCTAAGAAATAGAGTAAAAGATATAAAAATAGTAATAAAAAGAAACGTTAAGTATTAACCACAGCCAGGTGTTGGTAATGAAAAAGTCGTCTCGGATAAAGTTCTGAGCACTACGGAGAAACATAGCTGGTATGATCTTCAGTGAAGCTGAAGCCCAATGTATATAACTGGACATATACCACCAGTAGCTCCATTATGATGACAAATCCAGGCTCTTCAAGACACTCTCAAGTCTTTTCACCTTTGCAACACATGCCATTACAACAGTCCCAGTTGTCATATCGTGCAGCATAGAGGCAACCAGACACGGCAACCTTGCATGTTCATGACTTTCCTGCTCAAATCATGGCCTCATGACCATGTGCTGTGTGTCACTATCACAGAACAAATTCCTAAGTGGCTATATGAAGATGATAATTATTTGCTTTTGTTTGTCATCCCTGCTTGGTGGGGATTCACCACCTCATCATCTCATCTCATCTCATCTCATCTCATCTCATCTCATCTCATCTCACACATTTAGAAGCTTCCCTTTCCCAAATCCAGAAATAGCAGTAAGTTAAATTTTTTCAATATTTTCTGAACTTTATTTTACAGCTAAGTGCTAACTGTTACAAAATCCAAGCTACTTCTTTACTGCCATCACCCATGTACAACTCTGGGAAGCCATGTTCCTTCCATGCTGGCTGAGAGCAGTCCAAAAATGCCATTGGGATCCCAAGTTCCCAGGATAAGGAATTGTGGGAGTTTTCAAGTTTGGCCCTGCTACTTAGAATTTTCCTACCTTTCACAACATATCACAATAAGTAGAAAGCATTTACAAGACACTTCATCAGAATTTTGAGCACCCCTTCTCTGAATTAAGAGCTCTGTATCACAATTACTTTTCAAATGAAAATAAAAAACAAATCAGCCTTTAAGAGACAGCTGTATGAACAACAACATATTCCAGGAAGTTTAGACCAGAGGGATCTCCTGGATCAAGGCCCAGTCACCCACTACTGCTGGAAATCATGTAATATTAAATATCTTTCATAAACTATGCCTTAATTATTTCTATGCAAGTATATACATAAATATTTCTGATGGACATCTGCAGATTTTCAGTGCTTTTATAATCTTTTCTTTCCTCAAGAGGCATAAACACATTGCAGAGGCATGGAAAATTTTCCTTTGTGGAGACCAGAACTTTCAGAGCTTAAAATAATTTCTTATTTAGTATTTTTACAAGATATGAAAGGCTTAAAATGTTTTGATAAGTACACAAAGGTGTCATATAGCCTATGCTGATGACTCAGTCAGAAATACAGGAGTCTGATCTAAATCAGCAAATAACAGAACTACACTGCTGATAGTTCATGGAAATTAATTAATTGTAATATACCTTCCAGTATTCTACCACAAGGGCAAGTCAATATCTTTTTATTTGTCAGAATTAAAGTTGTCCATATATCTTAATTATCAAAGATTGATACTTGGAGGCAAATTTCAATGTAAATATTCAGAATGTTTCATGAATTCAATGCATACTGCTAAGAACTACAACAGCACCACAAATTCTGTGTTTTATGTATTTATGCACAAATTCATGCATTTGAGACAAACAAAAACATAATTATCAGTGAATTACTTACATCTTCATCCACTGCTTTAGGATCAGCATAAGTATATGCAGAAGGGATAGCAGTTAGCCTTTTAAGTTTTCTTTCTAGCTGTCGTTTTTGAGTAGAAAGAAGTACCATGTTTTCCATTTTACTGGAGGTCAACTTTTTGGTATCTCTGCATACAATACACAATAAAAATATTATTTCTTTAAGTAACATACATTTATTGATTTTAAAATTTTTGGGGGGTACTGAAAGATGCAGATTCATTCCCTTTTAACCTATAGGCTCAAACATGTAGGTAGATCTATTCATGTAAATTTAATAATTAATAATGCTGACAGCTTAGTTTTATTATGGCTTGTAGACAAACCAGCAAGTAATTCTGTATGAAGAAGAGAGGAGGAATTATGGTGATATACAAAAATGAAAGAAGATGAAAGACAACAACTCTAAGAACCTCATTTAGCAAATTAGTAAGTTAACAAGATTGCACAGGAGAATTAAACATGAAAGAGAAATGTCATGGATTTACTGCCAATAATGACATGGACTGTAAGTATTTAGGACAGGATTTGAAGAGAGGGGAGACAAAACTATTTAGAGCCAGTTGTCAAGCTACATCAGTGTCTAAATATGTGTCTAAATTCCTACTGGATTTTCAAGTTCTTGCTTATTACTGTTAAAGTCAGCTAAGTTCATTCTTTGGTGATATTATGTCCAAAGAATGCACTGTAAATTGTCATGACTAGGAGGACAAACCCACAATGCTTGGCTCCTGATACGTATAGCCGTGTCTCATGTCCAAATGCCTTACAAACCTCGATACCCTATGATCACAAAATCAAGGAAAATCAAGGTTAAGGAGGGAAAGTCCAAGCAAAAGGCCGACAAACAGTCATAGAATCATAGAATCATTCAGGCTGGAATCATCAGGCCCAACCAATAATCCTGCTCGACAAAGCTCACCCCTAAACCATATCCTCCAACATCGCATCTAAACGACTTTAAACACATCCAGGGAAGGTGACTCAGTCACCTCCCTGGGTAACCTATTCCAATGTCTAACTACTCTTTCTGTGAAAAAAAAATTCCTAATGTCCAGTCTAAACCTACCCTGTTGCAGTTAGTCAAAAAACATTGGAACATGGTGACCTTGTACTTCAGAGATCCACCACTGCAACCAGCCATGGTGAGGCTGAACTATGAAAATATTCTCTCATAGTGGCTGAGTCACATGCTACACTGTTTTTTTTAAGAGTTGCATGACAAAAGTTAATGCCTGGAAAAAGACCTGTTCTGATGTCTCAGTATCTCAGTAGTGAATTATTCCAAACTGACCAGTCTCATATTCTCAGGCCTCTCTCTTTGATTCTTACGTTGTCATACCAGCATCTTACACAGGGTCAGCATCACTGGTATCTTCCCGCTGCCTGACTGCCCACTGGGAGCTGCTGACTGATCCCTGCCCAACAGCTGTGGGCTCCCAGAGCACAGACAGGAGAGAGCAGGGACAGGAGCAGGGACATGCTGCAAGCCGGATGAACATGCTGGTGAAAGGTACCTTCCTCAGAAATAATTTATCACAAAATTATGCTCGGTCATAATATGTAGACTTTTAAATAATATAGAGTTATAATACTTACTGAGAGTTGTATTTTATTAGCATTTTTGTCACTTTTTTCAGTTCACCACTTAAACGTTCTTTTTCCCGCTCAGTATTAGGCTGTTGTTCGTTCCTTTGTTTTTGCACCAAATTGAAGAACACACTTGTGGCTGCCTTTTCCACTGATTTCACATTAAATCTTAAAGTAAATAATATATAATATACATCAGTTAGGTGAACTCTAATAGAGTTCTTACGTATAGGTAATGCCATTACAGTAATATTCAGTAAGCCTTATCACCCAACTATACTTCGAATCTAATTATTAGAAACATATTCCTATTCCATCTCCAAATCATAGTCCGCATTCACTTTCAAACTGCTATTATTCCAAAACTGAGTAGGAAAATGTAAGATGGTTCTGCAATAAATTATCTATAGATAGTGTGCTCAACTCTACCTTTATCTAAGATGGACACTTGGACATACAGATAAAGCAAACTGTAGCTGAAGTAATTTAAATTCTTCGCAACTACCCAGTTGAGAATCAGCTCCTGTCTGTCTTGGTCTTCGGCACAGCTGTTCTTCCTCATAACTTCTTCCATATTGAACTGTTTGGAGTTGAACTGGATTGAAGACTTCTCCGGCTTCACTCAAAAATTATTTTTTAAAATCTTCTTGCAGCAGCCAGATCCTTTCAACTAACAGCATATAAGGTGTTGGCAACACTTGGGGTGAGGTTGCATCCTAGTCCATTAAAATATTCATAAGTCATTCAAATCTGGCAGTCACCAAGAACAGGACAAAAACTGAAGGACTTTATCCTTTTGTTCAGAAAGGCTACATAGAGAGTTTAAGGCTAGGAGGTAACTGCTCCTTAAATTAATATTTTCAAATTATTATGGATGACAGAGCTCAATAACAGTCATTTACCATTTTATTTTTCCTTCTGAAGCTCAGACTGAATGATCTAAACTCTCTTTACCATTGAATTTATTCAGTCATAAGGAATATTAAAGTGGTGCCGTGCCAGCTTGTTCTTTTCCGTGGTGGCTCTAAGTAAAGAAAAGCAGATTCTAAGTACTGTTTTTTTCTCTACCACCAGTGACTGTGACAGCAAGTTGGCTTCTCCAGCTCTGATACATGCTTTCTCAGGACTCTCTTTTAGTTCCATGCTAACATAACATCATACAGGATGATTACGTTGCAACCTCATTGATCAATAAAGGCTTGCCAGCACCAGGGAAGCATAAATATCAAACTATTACTCCAAGTCACTGTCTGTTGCTTGTGAGGGCTACTCATCCCCTTCATCCCCATCACAATTTCTCATGACTGGGACATTTAAGTAAAGAGAAATTTTTATTATTTTTTTTTAATTCTGTCTGATTCTTGTCCCTTGTCTTACTACAAGGACGCTTGGGAGTTCTACCAAGTGCTGTTACACTATGCCTGTGCTTTAAAAGATCCTTAGCTAACACATTTCTGTACCTTACCCCTCAGCTTGATATCACTATGTTCCGCCTTCATGTTCACTGATTCAGGATGTGTTCTTGCCTCACCATGACCACTTATCAGTTGTCTAGGATATTCATAGTCTACTGACGGTCCCTTGTCACAGGCATAAGTCACCAAGAATTTCTAAGGACCCATCATTCTTTCAGACATGCCTTTTTATCAGCATCAAGCAAAACAGCAGTGCCCACTGTAAGGAAGGGCAAGGCTTCATACCAAGACAAGAAAACTTTTCTTTTTTTACCTTTGTTCCTGTGCACTATTACAGTGAGAATATGTGCTAGACAACTGTTTATTGACAAGCAGCTTCTTTTTATTGAGGATTGAGGTACATGTCTACTTAACTAATACCAGCAATACCACTGACAAGAATGGTATTGTCACAGTAGGCTCCAAGTTGTGCACGTTCGATGTTATGTAATTAGATCGCACCTATATGCAAAACGTTGCTCGATGCATGTCACTGGATGTAAGATGAGATTGTTAGAGGCTGTGCGATGGAACCATCCCATGTGGCAAATGCACAAAAACATATTAATAGAATCTCATTCCACCCTTTTCCCTAGCAAATGTGCCCCCACATATACCATGTGCAATTCTAAACAAATGGCACACATTTAGCAGAGGTTTTACTGACAACATTGGGTCAAAGAAACTGAGAATTCAAGTCTTATTTTAATGTCATTCAGTTTCTTGTGATTTTATTAGGCGTTTTACATAGATTCTGCCCTTTCCACAAAGCAATTAAACAATTACAGTTTTATTTCAGTTAAACCTTTAATGCAATTGATATGTGGGTTGGTGGAGCTTGCAGGCCTTTACTTTGTATGTGTTAAAGCAAAGGTAACAAATACCACTTAAATGGCACTTACCAAACCATATCAATGCTTATCTCCAATACCCATTTTTTCTGCATATAAGCGATATTCATGTAATACATGGAAAATACTTACATAAAAAATATGGCAGGCAACTTGTTCATCTTATGTAATTTATCAACAAAGCTTGCAAAATGCTCCCACTTTTCCTCTTCTGAGCAATCCACAGGTTTTGGCTTAAGGTACTCCAGTAGCTCATGCACCTGACCAAAGTAGTGTTATTGTGGAGATTTTAATGGCAGAAGCTTCTGGCTGGAGGCTAACAAATCCAGAGACTCGGTTTTCCTGTGTCAGATTCTATCAGCTACATTTTTTTAAAACATTCAGAACTGAATGAATTCAACACAGAGTTTGCAGACTAGAAGGTCTGCAAGTTATCAACTGACTGGTAAGAGCTCAAAAATGCAAACAGATGTAGCGTTCATGGCTACCATCACAGCATCACTGTGCAAACAATAATTGTCACTAACACACTGATTATGATATAGTTTCATATTTAAGTGTCCTATTTCAAGAAATTTGTTTTTTCCCCAGCTATTCTTTATTTTTTCCCTGTTGTTGATTCACCACCTCCTCACATCCTTTTTGTGATATAGGAATAGATGGTTTCCAATCAAAGATTTATTTTTCTGATTATCACTTTAATTTCTGTCTTTTACATGGAAGCACACTGTCTGTGGTTACACAGAAGGTTTTGAGTGAGCAGCAAGGAAGAGGTAAACTAAAAAAGTAGAGCAATGGTACAATGTTCACACTAATTGTAGGAGGTATCTAAAGGAATCGGAAACTGAAATCTCACAGCAGTATCAGAAGTCTGATTCCCAGAGAAACTTGTGAATATATCACCTTGAAAAAGCTTATGGTAACACCACAAATATTAGTGCTTATCTTTCAAGCACAGCAGCAGTTAAACCTAACAAATAGTAACTATGGCAGCAGAAACTCCCATCATTAGATTATTACATATAATTATTAAAGCTGTACAGAATCTTAGGAAAGTATCCTGCAATAACTGTTACCTTCTCACTTTGGCCAAGCACAATCCATCTACATAGTTCTTTCTTCAGTTCCTGTTCATATTTTCTCGCATCTGCCTTTTTTATTACTACTTTATTCTTGAAAGAGACAAACTCCTCAGGATCTAGCTCCTGGAAAACAACATTAATATAAAATTTTTCAGTACTTGTTCTCTATTTGTTTTGGTATATTTTGCCCACAGCTGTGTATACACACCTGAGCCCTTGGCCATTCTCGCCAGACTTTTAACATTATGTCATAAAGCTGGATGCTCTCTCGTGCAGACAGAGAAAGATCTGAAGGAAAACCATAGTTCTCAATCTGCAAAGAGTTTAAACAGAATTAAAACAAAGGAATCGTTTTGATGCAATCAATGTTGCCTAAATGTAACAGTTGCTAAATGAAGTTGACACTAGTATTATGCTTACATGATTCACTGTTAATGTAGCACATGGATGATAATGTTCAATGACAAAATCACTGCCCATTCGAGAACAGACATACTTTTCCAAATCATTGTATCTTTCTTCATACAAGACTGTGGAGAGATAAAAATGCTGTCATAATGCACTTAATCCCGGGAGATTTGTTTTTATTTAAAAGAAAATTCAGTAAAAACCACGCTTAAATTCATGCACCATGATTAAATTTTTTGCAGAAGTAACACTACAATTTGTTTCTTAGTTACAAAATATTCTGATACACACCTAGTCTAACACGATGTGATTTCTTTTGTTCCTGTACTTTAGGCTTCACTTTACATTTTCTTGTGAAGTTCTCTTCAGAGTTTGCTGAGCTTCCTTTTATTGTTTTCTCAGCATGTTGCCAATACCTTTTCACAGACCGTAACCACCTAAAGTGCAAGAATAAAATAAAAACAAGACTTGTAAAAAATATTTTAAGACATTTTCTACACCTATGATAGATGAATTACTACAATCTGCTCAATTTATCCTCTAGAATTTCCAGTCTCCCTCTCACCATCTTCAGTACAATTTTCTCCAGCTTATCCTATGGTGCAAATAAAAAATGTGAAGTAGCACCACCATACATATCAGTACAGTGCAGGTGTTTTTTCTATTTGATGATGAACAAGTGTGCTTATCAGGCTTTGGCAATTCCAGTAGACATAAAAGCTACCTAAATTCAGTTTTAGAGTCTGAAGGAACAGTAGTGGCTGCTCTTAATACAGAGTTCAGAGTTACAGAATTGGTTTGTGTCAATTGGAGGAGTAAGGGTAGCATAATACACATAACAATATAATTCCAAATAAGTTGCCTCCCAATAGTAATTGATGTCTCTGTCTAAAATAGCTCATATCCAATTTAAATATGCTTATGTGAGCAAGAAAATCCACACGTACTCAGTTAGGTGTTCTGGGTTACTAACAGTAGCAGAGAGTGCCAAAAATGGACATCGAATTGTTGTCAGAAGATGCTCCCAAACCTCTGCCCCAGTTTCACCGCCAAGACAATGGACCTTTGTTTTTGGGAAAAAGCATTAGAAGAAGAAAAAGAAATATTCCTTATGAAAATGCACCCATAACAGGAGCTGGTTTATGTTTTGCAGAAATCAAAAGTTTGACAAGATAAATACTAAATAATTCTTATGCTGTAGCAAATGACCACGTAATCCGAATCAAATGTCACATAGATCTCTCTCCAGACTTCACTGGATAGCAAATTAGCCTAAATTTCAATACTCCATTCAAGGTTCCTAAATACTCACTGATAAAATTGGAAATTAATTCTCTATATAAGAAAAAATACAGTAGGAATTTAAACTTTCGCAAGATTAATCATTGACTTTTTCATTGGAATGACTGACAAATACCATGTGATTGAAATGAGCTTTGACTGAACTGTATTGCCTCTTGAGAACTAAGACAGTTTTAAGTTCTTTTACTGGAGCACATAAACACTTCAGCCAATAGGACAAAGTAAGTAAGTCTGAAACAATATTTCTGAAAGTTGGGGTTTTTTTACCAGCAATAATGCACTTAATGAAAAGTTGAGTAATTGGCATTTTTCTTCAATATTTTTCATATATTTTTACACTGGTTACTATTAAAAGATGCCTACCTCATCGAATATAACATACTGTATCCGTTTGGTCCATTTCTGACAATGAGGAGACAGCATCAGGATTTCTAAACACTGAGGTACAGTCACTAGTATCTAAGAAGAAAGGTTTGTAATGCATTATTTTTACGTAAACTGACTAATCAGCTATAAGCAGACTATTTAAAAAGCACTTTAAAAAAAATATATATATTTAACTGAATGAGTGATTCATCACTAATGTCTTCAGGAAGGGCAAGAAAGAAGACCCAGGAAACTACAGGCTCTTCAGCCTCACCTGGATTCCTGGAAAGGTGGTGGAGCAACTAACCCTGAGCAAGAAAGTCATTAGGCATATTGAGCATGAATTCACCAAAGGGATGCCATGCTTGACCAACTTTGACCAACTTCTGTGATGACATGACTGGCTTGGTAGATGAAGGAAGAACAGTGGATATTGTCTTCAGTGAGGCTTTTGACATTGTCTCCTCTAAGATCTGCCCAGACAAGCTGTTGAAGTACGGGCAAGATGAGCAGACAGTGAGGTGGACTGAGAACGGGTTGGAAGGCCAGGCCTAGAGGTGACTAGTGGTACAAAACCTAGCTGGAGGCCAGTAACTAGTGATGTACTCCAGGAGTCAATACTGACTCTACTCCTGTTTAATATCTTCATTAAGGATCTAGAGGATGAGGAGAAGTGTACCCTCAGCAGAGTTTCTGATGACACCAAACTGGAAGGAATGGCTGATACACCAGAACGTTGTGCTGCCATTCAGATGGACCTACACAGGCTGGAAAAATGAGCTGACAGGAACATTGGGATATTTAACAGGCAGATGTGCAAAGGCCTGTACCTGGGGAGGGACAACCCCATACATCAGTGCTGGGAGCCATCCAGTTGGGAAGCAGCTCTGCAGGAAAGGACCTGACAATCCTGGTGGACACTGAGTTAAACATGAGGCAGCAATGTGCCTGTGTGGCAGAGAAGGCTAATCGTATCCTGGGCTATATTACGAGAAATATTCCCAGCAAATCAAGGCAGGGGATCCTCCATCTCTCAGCACTGATGAGGCCACACCTGGAGTCCTGTGTCAAGATCTGGGCTCCCCAGTACAAGACAGACCAAGCTAGTGGCCTTCTATGATGGAGTGACTACATCAGTGGGCAAGGGAAGAGCTACTGATGTATTCTATCTGGACTTTTGTAAGGCATCATCTGTATGCTGGAAACCAAAGGATTTTAATGTTGTCTTTTTTTCTTTTAATCAGAGCAAGTAATCAGCTGCGTGTCCCCTAAGGATGAACAGGTAAGGCTGTATGCCATGGACTGAAAGCTTCTGGAAAGCAGCACAGGTATGCTTAGATTTTTTTTTTTGTAATGACACAATTGCCATAATTAGAATTAGCATACAAAAGTCATTATTATTATGTGTTAAAACACCTATAAAAATATACCTGAGAATTCATGACATCACTGCAATAATCTCGTGTGAAGACTCCACACACTACCAACCCATTTGGAAGTTTCTTGGTGAATCGACTGTATATAGTTCCCACCACCTGGTTTACAAGGGCCTTAAATAAAGCAGATCATTAACAAAACTAGACAGTGTATATATAAAGGCATATGATATTCCAATGACATAAAAAAGCATTCAATTTTGGCACTGATATTAATGTACTAGACTATAATGTACTATGCAATGTACTATTAAGTCTAAAGTGTCAACAATGTTAACTTTAAAAAGATAAGGTTCTTGATTTTCACCTAAATCCTCTCAGAGAAATTTAGTGTTGTATGAAGTGAGTTATACATTATTAACTCAGTACTTTAATTATTTTCAAAGCAGTTAAAAATAGATCACATTATACATTGTAACTACAATGCATCTACACTCATCTACAATGCATCTAATAGCATTTTTATGATCTCAAAGTCCTGGGGTGGCAGGTATAAAACACATTTCTGTACCTAGACTAATATTCAAATGTAAAGATGATTTTGGTCTGACTATAACCATGAAAAAATTCATTTTACATACAGAAAACAATCCATACAGATTATTTTTGAATAACAGCACATGTAATTCACTGTCCAAAAATCCTACCACTGATCATGAAAATAAGTTTTGGAGGAAGTCAAAACAACATACCTCTGCACTTAGTCAGTTTTTAACTATTAGGACAGAACCCTTCCTAAAAATATCCCACTGCCTAGAGTTTCATAAACTATCTCTTGAATCATCTAATGGTGAACTCAATTAGAAAAAGACAATTTGACTTTCTTGGCCACTGCTCTGTTCTAGTATTACTTTCACCATATTTGCAGGCTTTTGGTACCCTCATCGTTTACCTAACATGCTACTTCGAGCACTTTTGTTTATATTGGTGTTTCTGACCTTAAAGTAGCTATACAGATATAATAGACAAAAACTTTACAGGAGCTTAATTATTTTGAAGAGTTGTTTTTGTTTTAAACACACTGTTTCAAATAAATGTAAATGTAAGGATTCAATTTCTAATTATTAATTAAATCTGTGTAACACGTAACAACCCCGAACAGTTTCAGAATCATAATGAGAAATATCAGTCATACACATAGAATAAGCAGTGGAATGCAGCCTTACTTTTGTAGGAGCAACATACACAACTACTCCTTCATTGCTTGTTTTCAGAACTTTTTCCATGCAATAGTATGATGCGTACGTTTTTCCTGATGAATTGGGAGCGACAATCACTGCAGACTCGTTATTATCTACAGCATCAAGGAGTTCTCGCTAAGAAAAAAGTGGTTACTTACATTAAAACCTCTTGTTATGGAGTTCTTGGTGAGTAAAACTGCTCTTTCTGTGAAAAAAATCTCTTATTTTTGCATGTAGATTTTATATACAGATTTTAGACTATGGAAAGTCAGTGTTAACTTAGTCATTTTATGTCTACATTCTTTGACACTGTTAGTGGGGGAAAAAATGGAAATACAAATTATAACTTGCCTATTTCAGTTATTTGGTCTGAGATACTGAACATTAAAAGTCCAAATATGGACATTTTCAAATTAAAAAATAAGATCAGTTAACTCAGCAGTGTATAATTCAGTTCCAAAATTTTACTGTTTTATACAAGGCAATGTTTTTTCTTGCATTGTAATGGTTACATCAATACTGTCCAAATTCCTTTTCTACTCCTAAAGTACAGTATTTATTGATCTGGTTTCTTCCCTGTCACTGCTATTCTACATGCTACCTCACCTTACGCAGGTCTGGGAAAGACGGGGAAAGGGCTACAGAAGAGGAAACATAAATATTATTAACATTACTTTCTCTGTCAGCCCATAGGCCAAGTTTCAAATTGCTTTTCAAGCAAGTGGCTGTTTTGCAGATATGGCTATGCAAAGCAGCAAATTCAGTTGGCCTTTCCAGCTCAATAATAAAAAAATCTGAGTTAGTTAGACTTATTCTGCTTTAAAAAGAAAAGTTCTTTATTCATACTAAGGGTAACTATTTAAGTGAGCAGAGGATAAACAGTTGGAGATTATCCAAATAGGGTATTACCACCATCAGATATGGTAATGAGCAGTGAAACCTCATTAATTTGGCATTTCTTATCTTTAATTCCTTGGAGCAAGTCCAAAATGATATAATGAGTTTGTTAAACTTATTACAAAACTAAATTTGTTAAATAGCACAATTTTTGACAAGCAGTATAATAATGTATGGTTTTAAGTGGAAAAAAAAAATTAAAAACCCCAAAGATCGTGTCCATTCATTTTCTGCACACAGTTTGTGTCTCATTACCTGCCATGTGTCTGGTATGAAATGTTGCACTCGGGGATCTGGATCATTTCTCTCTTCTCTTAGCAAGTAATAATCCATGTATTGTAGCTGAAAGCGAGCTGGACCCACTTGGACAGCATACTTGCTTTTATGCTGATCATTACATTCTCTTGTCTATAAGGTCAAATGAAAATTCAAATTGGTTTGAAAGCTAGCAAAAGGTTAAGAAAATGGCACATCTTTTGCTCTGTAGAACTCTGCAACCTTTGAAAAACATAAGAAAGTACAAGTGAATTTAAAACAATTCCTTGCAGAAACCTACAACATATAGCCTTATGTCAGGGTTATGCTGGTATCTCTTGAAATGAGATTATGTTCTAAAAATATGTCTTCCGTACTCAGTGATGGTGTTGGTGATGTTTTTATTGTTGGAAGAGATAACAAAATTGGCTAGCAGGCAAAGCTCAGTCTCTTCAAGCTATTGCCTCACAGAGCCTTCTCATCCTATATTTATGTCTCATTTTTTTCAGTCTGCTCTGATCCCTTGTGTAACGAACCACAGTTGCAAAAGGAAATTCAATATAAAGACTAAGTGTGATATCAAATTTTGTAAGGCGTTGTATTTTTAAACAATACCTGTATACCCTAAGACCTATCAAATTAAACACTTATCAGTGTGTCTGGTTACAACATCTGATCCTGAAAGCTGTGTAGAAAAGAATTACATGTTACAACATACACTAGAAGATCAGAAAAAATCACATACTAATTTAGGGATGCCTGGATGTCAATTAATGCAACTCAGTGCTGGAAACAAGTACAACTGGATCAGGCCACTCAGGGCTGTAATGCAGTCCAATTTTAACTATCTCCAAGGATGGATCTTTCAAAATTTTGTTATTTCTTGAAAGAAATATTTTCGGTTGTTCCTAAAATTCCCCCAACTTTACAAAATTAATAACCAGAAACAAACAGGTGCAAAAGAAAACGTAGGTCCAACATGCACTGACTGATTTACAGCCCTTCTGAGCAACACAGTAAATGTACCAAAGTAATGTTCTGTCACCACAAACCTTTACAACAGACCTTTTGACATCCTCGGAACCTACAGTTCTGCTTCCTCAAATGTAATATATTTTATTTGGGTCACCAAACACCCTTACAATACCTATGTAGCCAAGAGCAAATAATCATCATACACTTGTTGAATTCATATAGAAAATGAGCAAGGAATTTCTGCTCTTCAAGGGAAGAAAATTTCTTAGAAAACAATCGCTTCTTTTCCTCACCACTTAGTCCTGATCCTCAAGCAAGGATGATAAACATTATCTAGAAGGAAGCTTCCTAATGCCACTGTGGTGAAAAACAAGATACTGAAACGGTTAATACTGGTTTTACAGTTCACTGTAATCTTCTTTTCTTCTGCTATTGACTCCAAATTCGGCAGGCTACGAGTCATGTCCACCCTCTTCTACCTGAGAGCAACTTTAGAATCCTCTCTCGTTAATAACACCCCACCTACACACGAAGGTCTCAAACTGCTCTTAACATTTAATCAGCCAGCAGGCAGGTCACTAACCTGCAGAAAAACAAAAGGTCAGTCCTTAGAGAAATTACTTCAGAGCCAGATTCAGTGTAGCTATTGGTGGTCTTAGGTGTGCTAGCAAGGACAAGCAATTCAGTATCTGAAACTCTTTTCTTCTGAGATGATCAGTAATAACATAAAACCAAACAGAATAGTTTTCAACCACTTCTGCAGTCTCAAAGATTTCCTTTTCTGAAGTAGCACATTTGGGTCTGTTAGAGAGCTGCTACTCATCACTTAGCTTTTAACAGTTATTTTTAATGCAGTAGAGCTCCGCTGATGTGATAAATTCAATAGCAGGTAGCTCTCGGAGATATCCAAGGCCTCAAGAAGACACGATGCTTGTTTCAGAGGGTATCTTTGTGGCCATATACAGTTCTATTTACTAAAAGGGAAGTGGCCTCCTGTGCCAGCTAGCCCTCCTCACATCACCCGGAGAAATGTATCCATGGAATAAAAGAAGAATAATACCTGAAGCAAAACAGACAGAGCCAAATCTTGTAGCACAATACAAAATAAAATGAGCTCAATATATATCTTCTCCATACTATTCAACTCTGTTGATATTCAGCTGAAGAGCCAGCTAGAGTAGAATCATTACAATCTATAAAGTTACCTGGCCAGGTAGAGACCGTGCCAAATTCTCAAATCCAAGAACTTTTAGGCATCTGGCCAGCTCCTGTAGATGTGGTTTCTCCAAGAGATCTTGATATTTTTCAAGGAGGATATGAATTCTCCTCATGACTTCAACAGCTTTGCTTAAATCTTTTGGTTTGTTGCCTTTAAAAAAAAAAAAGCCTACAGTTATTTGAGAGCCATTGGGAGTCTTCTGATATTAGGTAATTTTAGAACAGACCTTATCTGTACAACCACATTTATGATGATTTAAAAATTAATTTTATTTAAAGGCAACTAGATGAAGACAGCCCACACTTCTGCGACCTCTACAGGGAGTGCCACTGAAGACAAAGCCCCCAAATAATTCTACCTGCTTCTTCATACTCAGTTATAAAAGTAAGTCATACTTCTGACATCTACAAAATAACTGAGCTCCCTCATTTCACCTTCCTGACCCACGCATTTGTTACTCAACCTTATTAGCAACATATTTCACTGCAAGGTTAACTACCTCAGCTAATTAAACAATTCACTGCCATATAGATACATTCTACTGTGCCTGATACATAATCATTAAAGCTATGCATAATAAAATAAATTATTTATGTAGGTAATGTTTACAAAGTAAAACATAAAAACATCTACGATCTAATTTCATTGGATACTTCACAGCTGGCTCAAAGGATCATGAAACTGCAAAAGGGAAACAAAGCCTGTTAATTATTAAAAACACCTTTTATGCTCCTGAAACAGGGCTGTATTCACAGGTTTTTATTCCAGTTGAGAATATCCAAAGTTACTCATTTTCTTTATTAAAGGGAGTGGAAGTTGAACATTGAAGACGAATTAGGCTATTGTACCTTGCTTTCTGCAGTGTCCCTTCCACACTTCTGAACAAGCAGACAGTCCTGTCATTTCTACGCTGAACTTCACAGATTTACTTTTAAGGGTTTTGAGAAACTTCTCCAATTTATTTATTCCAACAGTCAAATTTGCTTTTATTTCCTTTTCAGTTGATATACACAAGGCTTTCCATTGCTCCTGTTCTTTCTTTTCTTCTTTAGCTTGTAGTCGCCTGTTGTTTTCCTCTGCAATTGTTTCCGCTTTACTCTTCTATCCAATAAAATGAAGATATTTAGAACTAATCATCACTGAGTGCAAGTATCATCTAAAAAAAAGCTAATCCATAAACTCACTCGCAGCAAGTACATTACAATTTTCAATTAATCTGTGTGGTGCATTGTATCTCGGAATTGTTTAAAATAGTACTTCATTTTGAAGGAGATAGAATTTCTGAATCTCAGTGCTTGAAAGTGCTTCCTTAAGCTTCACTTCATTATAAAGCTTCACAAGTAGTACATAAAAGGTAATAGTAATCCTTATAATATTGAGATGCTTTTCAATGACTTAAATAAAATTAAGAATTCAGTCTTTTTTGAAGCTAACAAAGGTATTTTATATATAGACTTTTAGATGTAATTCAACAGGTCATAATCTGTAATGCATAGTACAGTCTATTATGAAATATTACTCGAATTACTATTGCTCAGTGTTCATGAGTATGCAAGTACATGCTACATACCCTGTGATTCCTGACAATGTTTACATAGTTAGGATTAATTGCAATATCCCAAGATCTTTCACAGAGAATGTTTTCAAATAGTGCAGGGAAATAAATCACTGAATAATGTTTTTTCCAGTTTTTCTCAACAGTTTCTTAAAGTAAAATTAAATTCATGAACTCTGGTTTCCTTCACTCTGCATTGTAATACTGGCCAGGAGCCAAAACCTATCAGCATTTACAGAGTTCATATTTAAGCCTGTTAAAATATAATCACTCATGATTATTCCTAAATAGAAATAAAAATACTTTTGACAATTAGCTAAATAAATTTGAAGTACAAAACAATTTAAATTTCTTCAATTGAGACCTACTAGTGCATTCAGAATATAAAACTTCATTTGTGGGACTCGTATAGTAGAAATACTTTCCTGGATAATAGAAAAAAGATTTGGAAAGAGCAACCTGAATATACTCACGTGTTTTTTCTGTGTCTTTTTGACAGCAGCATTAGCATTCCTTGACACATCCTCTTGAGTTACAATAAGTTTTGAAGGGCTGTCATCCAAAGTGCTTCCATAAAATTGCTGAAAAGTCTGTAACTTCTGCATTTGTCTTATTTCTTTTGGATCTCTGGATTTTGCTGCAAACAAATATACCTGGTTAAAAACACTCTAATAGAATTCCAGCTCCATCTATTTCCAAGAAAAGATACCTGGGTAATAGAAAAAGTTCTCCAAAATTCCTCAGTGATATAAAGGTCAAAATCAGATTTTGAAGGAGACTAGCTACTAAGACTCATTGAAACCCAACAGTACTTTGAATTTTCTGAGAGAGAGGCAATAGACTAAAATTCAAACTACTTTAGTCACACACTAATAATATGGAAAAACTTAACAAGCAGGATGCCTGGAAAGGAATTATAACTGTTTAAGCAAAATGCCTGGGCTTCTCCAGTCCATAAAAATAGGAAAGTGTCTTCCAAGGGGAATTCAAATGATCAGAAAGAGACCTCTTCTCCATGAAAACAGAAGTCTGTCATCAGAATACAAATAAAGCCACTGGAAGAACACTTATGCTACCCAATGGAAGATACTGAACTGAGAATGTGGATACTTCCACACTCGAGCCTGGCTATTTTTCTCTGCTCTAAAATCAAAACAATGAGTCAGTTTCTGAGTGTGAAGACCCATCTCAGAATGTCTTTCTGTTTTTCACAGGAAAGACTGATATGACACGTGCCAGCATTCAGAGTACTCATGCAAGGCACAAGAGAGAGAGTCCTCTCTTCAGCTGGAGTGGACATAAACCTTCAACTCCACCATTATGGAAGGTGTTCTAGGTACTGTTGTGCAGGCTACGCTCTCCAAACTTCCTG